CCACAGGTAAAATAACGCTGGTATCGCCAAATAATCCACACATGAGCCAAAGCTTAATGCTGGAACAAGACTGATTTACTGGAAGCAACAGGCATTCAATTTATACAGTACAAGCTCCTCCTCTGGGCCAGGCTAGATAATTGAGTTTCAGCAACATACTAAACTCAATTACCCGCTGGCCAGAAACATTAACAATTTTCCACATTTTTAAAAATATACTTGATACATGACATAGGAATATAAACTGGGAGTAACATATCCAAATTTCACGAAAATCCATTCGGTAGTTTTTGTGTCGCATCGTGTGGAAGTTTGACCGGCTCGCCATGTGGTTGTATCAGAGTTAGAGTTCCATGAAATTGGTAGCAAGTGCTGGTCCCTGTTCATGCAGAATTACCCGAAAACCACCACACTTATACAGTATCTGGTTACATGTGAATGCTTCCCTCATTCGGTTGATTGAAACTCCCGAACGCCAGTCTTGGTACTGTGAGTGGAAATCGGTCAGACAGGACTTCCATGGAGACCGGGTGTGATTGCCATGCCGAAAATTGTTCCAGGCAATCCACGAGTAAGTACCGCTGGCCGTGTTAGGGAGATTTAAGATGGCCGCCATCCTTTGCTCTCGCCACATGTTCGTATGCCGAATGGCGGCCACCTAGAGGCACTCAATTACCTTGAGGTTTTCGTGGTTACTCGGTGTTCTAATTTCTGATTGCTACCCAGGGTGGTCTCTGTTCGGTAGAACGAATAAATGTCCCAAACACAGAAATAAACAACGAATACTTTAAAGTCACTTAACTAGCAGGGAGAGGAAATAACCGAATAGGTACAGGTAAACACAAGGAAATCCTTTAGACACACATTGAGAGTACACGAGGTATAATGTTTACACACATTGAGAGGACACAAGGTATAATGTTTACATGCAGTGAGAGGATACATGTATTAAGGCTGTTTGGCCTGTAATTGTGGGAGGGGCTTAAATTAATTCACTCCCCTTTATAAGGGACACCCCCTCCCTGACTCATATCGCTTGAGGTCAGCATCAGAATGATTTCCACTTCCGGGTCATCCAGACACCATTTTACCTGATTACTCCATGAGGTTTTCTAAGCTGAGCTGTGTCAGGAATCCAGCCACAGGCTTTTCCGTCCGACCAGCTTCTTTCTTCAATCTATCGCCACGGATAGCGTCCAAGTGACTCACAAACCGTAAGTCGACCTACCCGTTACGCCAGGCATCAGTCCCACGGCACCATGCACGGGTCAGGTCCTCACTTTACGTCTGCATTCGTCTAAGTCTGTTCTAAAACCATTGCATGTTCGTGCATATCATCCGTTTAAATTCACTTGTTTATATCTGTCACTGGCTCATTTCGAGCATTAGCACACTTCCAAACGGGAACACGTTCTGTTTCAATTGCCTAAACATACTAGGCAATTCTGTGCGTGCATTTCGAATCTTCGTTTTGTTTCCCTGACAGACCAGGCTCACGGTTCGTGCAATTTCTACAGAACAGGAACTAGTTCATGCATTTACTATGGTAATAAACACACGTTTTGTGTTTTAAAACCCACGAACAGAACACTGGTTTGTTACAATGACTGTTATTAAGCTATTATGTTCACATATGGTATATTGTTGAACAGGCACTGTTCGTTTCCCTGTCATCATACATCCATTATGCTGGGGCATAGCTCACGAACAAGTGTTCTCATAACCACACTGACCCCTACAGGTCACTCTTAAAATCTCACGTTAACCTTACATTTTGGATTAAGGGTATTTTTATCATACAATCAGCATTTCTGACCCCTAAGGGTCAAAAGCAACAGCTGTCTTCACATGTCATACAATTTTACAGCCAATATAAATTACACATAAGATTGTTTTAAACATAACCATATACCATACATTGAACTCCCGCACAGGTTCAACTT